CTACTATATATATATATATATATATATATATATATATGAATAACAGAAATAAAGTTTCTATACTATTAGTAAGGTTAAGAGGGAATAAACTCAAGTATAAAAAGGTAAACATACTGAAGAGTCATAGGTTAGATCATAGCATGGATAATTCAGACTCTGGACTGATGATCCTATGCAACGTCTGTGGCACTATTACAAGAACAAATTTAAACCCTAGAATTAATAGTGATCGGGTTATTGATTTTGCATTTCGCTGCGAAAATTGCAACTCTTCATTAGTTCATATATTTGGAGAGACTGTACCATTTGTTTTTCCGTTAAGCTTATCAAATTTAAGCGTCCAAAATCTAGTTCTAACCAGAACTACTCAGGACAGAGGAAACTTGTCATCAGAGTTACCAGAGGGGTGTCAAGACTTCACCACAGACGAAATTTTACATGTTTTGAACACTTTTAAGTATGGGCTCCCACCGGAGGAAGTTCAATATATCCTTTCCAATTCTGTCAAGAACACTAATAATGATAGTGTAGATCCTGGCTGCCCTATAGAGGGCATGCATAGTAATTCTAATATAGAAAACATCACCACTGCTGTAGTAGAAGGACTTGAAAACCCCTCTTCCCGAATAAGTTATAATAATTATGGTGGGAATGCAGCCAATAGTCACAGATCGTATGAGAATGTAACAGCGGCAACTCTACCCTGTCCTATTTGTTTTGAGGATATCATAGGATCTTCGGTGTGTATTGTAAAGCTCTTCTGTAGTCATTATTATCATCAAGCTTGTCTAAGGGAGTGGTTGATGGTACAAAAGTACACCTGCCCCATCTGTAGGAAACCCCTTATTATGGAATGACCGATTTAATACTACTATAATCTTTGCTATTATTCTTTCATATCAATTATACGTTAAATTAAAATTGGCCTAGGCGTACTAGCATTTGCTATATATTATAATAATATAAAGTTATCCATGAAAAATTGCGCATCTTTTTTTAATGTGAAGACGCTTTATGTGTTCAAAATATTAGGGGGGGGGAACCTGTGATTATGCTTAAAATTATTTGTCTTTATTGAAAACTCATCTTCCAGATATTGTCTTGGGGCAATTAATACATTAATACCTGCATCATTATGCTTTTTGTGCTTTATCTTTTAACAAACAAAAATGTACCTATGATTCACTTATAGATTTACACATATGTATATATATGCCCTTTTTTACTTAACCCTTTCTTTCTCTTGTACATTCTATTATAATTTCGAATTCTCACGACAAATAGAACACCGTCACTTTTTCTCTTCATTCTAGCTATTCGACAAAAAGATGGACCAGACTACAGCTAACAAATTATATGGCGGCGTCGCGGTGCGCATCTCGGACCGCATGATGCTGTGTAAGATCTCTGGTGTACCCACAGAGAACTTTTCCATCCCAGGTACAGCGTGGGCAGAGGTGGTAAGCAAGTGCATAGCACCGCATTTCCGCACCTCCTCCTTTCTCAACGTTACATCTGACCTAGACCCTACAAAGGAAGTGCAGCTTTCCTACCACATCACAACCACCGAGGCCATGGGTTTCGCCCTTATTTGTGGCAAGGATGTGAGCCGGCGCCACGCACAAAACACACTTGATGAGCTCACCGCACTCTTCAATAAGATGTTTGTTGAGGACACGAACAAGTTGACGCCGAGAATGGTTGATATATTCTCAAAGCCCGCCCGTGACGTGCTGGTCAAGATGAGCAGCGAAACGAATGGTGAAGACAAGGTTCGCCGCGTTAAACAAGCTGTCGATGAGGTGAAGAATCTGGCGCTAGACAATGTTGAGAGAGTTCTCCAACGAGGTCAAAAAATCGACGATATTGTTCAGGCTACCGAGGATCTACAGTTCCAGGCACAGGGCTTTCAACGCAGTAGTCGAGACCTTCGAAATCAGTTGTGGTGGAACACTGTGAAGGGAAAGCTGATTATTGGTGGTATAGCAGCTGTGTTTATTATTTTGGTGTTATTCACCTTTTTTTCTGGAAATAGTGATACTTCAACCGGCAAATAAAAAGACTGTTTGAAAGAAGTGATATACCAGTAAAAGGAACCAACATTGGGGAAAATGCTAAATATATCTATAGTACTTTCATGCATTTTATTCTTAAAAATTTCCTAATTTATATCTATACTAATTGAATATTGATTCACGTCATAAAAAATATTGCTATTATATATATAATATATATGCTTTTGTATGTACATAGATGTTTGTGTGTATCGGTGCATATTTAAGCGCGTTGCGATCCTACTTTTGTGAGGTTTGATTAGGTAAAAGAAAAGTTGTGGAGAATAAATATCTTATAGATAACTCATTAAGGATCTTTTTACCTTGTGATAGACACGAATGAAGAAAATGCTATTCTACACTTTATGAAAATACGCTTCTATTATTTTTATTTTTTTGCTATGGTTTTGTTGAATGAAACTGCCTTGGATTCTATAATGGAAGAATGTTTATTTCTTTACGCTCCTTAACTCTTTTAGTAATAAATTTTCCTTCAGTGAAATAAAAAGATCAAAAAAAATGCGAAAAAATGCTTCACGTGGGCTTCTGGCTTCCTCCTCAAGGACTTACACACCTGCACCGCCGAAAAAAGAACACCGCGTTAACTCAACCAGCTGCGCTCAATTAGAGCCACTGGATGTACCGCAGCAATCGGTGTTAAATAAACGATTACGCACGAGAGCTCAGCACAGCACAGCCCCTCGTACTGTACTTCCTCCTCCTATCAACAATGGCATGCGTAACTCATACAACAATGATAACCCGAATCGTCCTCCCTCAGATGCAAAATCAACAGGGGGTGAAAAATCTAGTTCTGCTAAGCAGCAACCAGTATTATTAACAACAGCTCGTGCGATAACCCACGCTAACTCGATCAGAATGCCTTCAATTAACCCTAGATCGAAGGGTACGGGCGTAAAGCCCTCTTCTGGAGAAATAACCGACAAGGAGTATCCGCGCGAGCCAAAACGCCCAGGATTGCAACGTCCGCGTGTTGGTACTAATACCACCACGCCTGGTCAATCACCACCCAAGTTGTTTCACCGAACCGCGTTTTCAAGATTGCCCGTACGAACTCCAGTTAACATTACTTCAAAGGCTGAGGTTGATTCCGCAGAAATGGCTACCAGAAAAGGTGAGTTGAGCACGATGCGTCGGAAGCGAATGGAGGCAAGGGTGAGACCACTGAGCCCTACTCAATTAGCCACACACCCTGATTCTGCACTCAACAACAAAGCGTCTTTGCCTCTGGAAATGCCGGAACTTATTACTAAAAAAATGATTCCAGACACACAAGTAGCAAGAAAGTCAATTTCACCTCATCAACAACCCGGCACCCATACAGATATCAAGGACAAAGCTGGCGACGCTGGCAGCTTGACCCCCTTGGTCCCACAACCGTCTAGCGCAGAGGATTATCACGACTCCTCAAATTGGCGCACGCTCGAGGAGATTCCCGATGAAGCCGTTTCTGTGATAGAAGGGTCTTCCTTGGAACCACCCTTCTCAACCCATTTGTGGGCCCAAGCCCACGTAGACCCCAGTAAGATTGTCTCCCAGTCTGTTGGATTTTTTAGCACCGCATTGGGCTCGGAAAGTGTTACCAACGGCCCTCCGAAGGGCGCACGAGCCTTGCACTGCTATCCAAAGCAACTGAAGGAGGGCTACTATGCGTGCGCGAGATGCAGGAACCCGGTGTGCTCCCCATTGCATCAGGTACCCACTGCGGACCTGCAACACTCACGGACTACAGGGTATGCCGTGTTCAGCCGTGCGCATGCGAAGGGCCTACGGGTGGTGATCACCAATATAACCGAGGAAAGCTCTAAGAAAACTTCGATGATACAAAACAAACCCCAAGTACAACGTCTGAAACCAAGCAACTCACTGACGTTCTCGGTGTTTTGTCGATACTGCAATGCCTGTGTTGGTATTCTAGAAAGCGCTGAAGGTAGAGGCGCTATTAGTATCCAAGATGATGGCAAACCCAAAGAAGAAAATGTGTGTGAGTGGTTTATAGTGAACAGTTTATGTTTGGAGTACATACCACTAAATACACGAGCCCGTCTCGATGAGCTACTTGTATGCACCTCATCACACGATAAAAAGAAGTCCAGGTGCGGAACAATCCACCTTGATTATAATAATTATCCGAACTCTATGAATGAAGAGGATCAACAGGCCCTCGCAACAACCATTGCCTCAGTGTCATCTTTACAAGGTTTGATCTTAAATGGAAAGGATGAAACGAATCGTCTGGCCGAAGAATGGGGGCTATGTTTGGAATGCAGCACTAGCGATGAAGATATCGCGTTGTGTGCATATTAAAGACCTTTTTGAATCATTTTATTTTAATGTTACTATTACTATTATTATTATTATTATTATTATGCACTATATTCACTTTTTTTTTTGTATATTATCAAAGTTCACGAAAAGAATATGTATTTCAGCAGCTTGTAAGACTTCGTGGCCAAATATTTTTATCTTGATCTGATGTAGCTCACTCGGAATGTGAAAAACCTGTCTCTGTGAATATTAATTCATGAGAACCCTTAAACTTTTTTATTTTGTTAATTTATTTTATCTTCACTATGATGATGTGTTACTGTGTGAAGTCAATAAAAATAAGTCAACACAGTAGTCAATAGCGTCTAGTTGTCTAGAGGCTAGATTCTGGTGAGGCAAGGAACGGATAAATTTCAAAGAAAGACTATTCATTTGTTCATAGTTGATCATATTACAAAACGAAACTTTCTAACGTACACAGTCATTTCGTTTTCCAATGACTCATGCCTCTCCTGAGATTAAAGCCCTACTAGAGGCTATTAACCCGACTCTGGATGAAATACAAAAAAACTTTAGGAACAATGATGGAACCATGGTCCTACAATACTACGACATGCTTCTTGCTCTATCCGAGCTGTACACACTAGCTGGAATGATCCAAGAAATGCGTCCGGAAATGAATCTTATCGAAAAGTTAGAGAACTCCGTGAATGTGTTGGACACAAATTTTCTATTGAAACTCCTGAAAGCTGGTGGACAAGCCTCCAGTAGCGATTTTAAAGCATACCAGTTGCCACAAATGGTGGATTTTGATACAGATCCAGGTGGGGAATTAAATATCTCTCAAAAGGCATACACACTATATGAGGTAGAACATGACTTGGAGTATGTGTGGGCACTCAGTTTAATTACAATACTTCAGAAGGCACCAGATGAAGAGGAGCATCACCAAGAAATCGTAGATGAATTCGAAGAGCTATTCGAGCATTCCTCGGAGCTTTTGCGCGCAATAAAACTAAAATCTTCTTGTGCGATGGATACAATTATCGAGTATCACATACACGAAGGGCAAGCCACTTCCTCCGTACTGGTGGCTGCATTGCTTAAATATCAACCAGAAAATAGTCTGACGCTTACTGAACTTATTAAATACGTCAAAAGTGTCAACATCACCGTAACACCTCGTCTAGCTGGTCTTCTGGAGAGAAGCTTTGTGAAGTGCATGAAGAAGGAAAATGCCGAAAATGTCTTTGAACGGTACATTGGTGTGGGCTTAGTCCCTCTTTCCACTCGTATGTTTGCCTTTATTTTTAATTCTAAAACGCTAAAAAAAAGATCAGTATTGGATTATTACGAACTTATGCTTGACTACGGCATTCCACCGGAGCCATCTTTGCTTCGTATATTGTGCAAGCAATGCGCAAACATGATGTTTCCAAGCATGCACTTCACACAGTGCTTCAAAAAATATTCAGTAGGTGGTACAACTCTAAATATCAAAGCCACTACTCCCCAGGCCCACGATGCTTCCGAGTATGCACTTGGAGGCACGGCAGCGGATGGCATCCACGATTCGCTTCGCAGGAATGAACGGTCCTATTTTGCATGGCGGCTTCGTGAATTAGCTGTTGAAGCCGACCGTAGCAATCAAATTATACCTCTTATGGAAGCAATGAAGGTTATTCATCGTGCAGATGTTGAGGGCACCACACTGGAAAATGATAATATGATTCTTTCCGCACTTTTAACATTTTTTTGCAATGGAACAACCCCATTGAAGGACTTGGTGTACCCCTTCAATGAGTCGTTAGCATACCGTCCCGGTAAGATTACTTTAGAAGAGGATAAATGCGGCACCAACATCGGCATCACGGATGTTGAGGAACTGTCCGAGCACTCTTTGAGTCGACGTTCACTTCAAGAAGTAAACGCCTTTAACTTTGAGCTGGAGAATAATGAAGGCGAGCTTCTAGAAAGTGATATTATCCCTAGTGGCGACTGTTCGGTAACCTCGAGTAATTTAAAGAATTCCGAGGCACCTTTACAACAGGCGGCTGAAAAGCATTCGGAAGGTAAGGAGCGTAAGGGCGTCCGGCGCCGCCCAGGTATCGCTTTGGCTGAAGAAGAAGCCGATTATGTGCTCCGCGTGCTCATTGAGTATGGGGCCAAACCAGACAATGAAGTTCTAAAGTCGCTTTGCTTCAAGTCGGAAGGCCACATGCGCAGGGATTCCGCTGTCATGCTGCTCGCTGCAGAAGCCGCCTTTGATTTCGGCCAGAAATCTCAGGGTGCGTCGGAATCAGTGAGTTGCAATTATTGCATTGTCGCTGTGAGTGATTTCGCACGACAGCGGAATCGACTTCGTCTTGGACGTCTATTACGAATCTTTGTCGAACAATACTACACTTACACCGAGGTCTTTCACACGAACTGGGATTTTGAGACTAAAAACAATTCTGACAGAAATACCGCCTGCTTCAAAGTCCTTTTAATCTCAGCGATGAGAATCGGGCCATTGGATTGGACCCTCGGACTCTTTGTTTTATTGTTAATTCATTGCTCACATGTTTCCGAAGGCGCGAAGGCGCGGCTTTACCAAATTCGTACCTCGGAAAGTCATCGTTCCCCTCATGGAGAGGTTTTGGATCTCTTAGAACGATGTAATTGGGAACGCAACCGAATTCTGTGCTGTGATAGGCTCATGTTGGAAACACACGAACTAGCAGAGAACAATTCTAGCCACAATGAAATCGATTCGGGTATCAAAAAGCGCGCTGGGGGTGTCTCACAAGCGCAGGAGTCAAGCTCGTATACGACTTCGCACACACAAGAAACACACCCTACCCTTTTTACGTACCTGCACACGGTGCTGAGGGAATTGAATGCAAGCCGGGGGACTGCTAACTTTTACAAGCAAACGCTTCAAAAACAACGACAGGCGTTGATATCCTCAAGACGACCTAGAAGATCTTAAATATGCTTTTTCTCGTCAAGGCTAAAACATTGGTGTAAATATGGTTGTGAATTCAGACATCTTATTTCAAAGTCAGTGTTTGGTATCCTGGATTGAAAAGGGAAACAAATACTTGCTTTATATTTTTTTGTAAATCTGTTTTTGTGATAATAGATACTGCGTGTAGGCCGAAGGTAGTGCTTCATTCTTGAGGTCTGACTTCACAACTTTTGTTGATGCTTTTTTTCAGTACTCTACGCTGTATTATTATGCAAATGCACGTTAATTACGATTGCTAGCGAAAGCGGTAAAGGTCTGTGAGCAACACTATGATGCACGCAACTTTAATAGAGGAATCCTCTAGAAGAAGGGAAAATTGGAAAGTAAGAATGATATTTGGAGAAATGTCTATTGAAATGTTTAAGGACCTAAATTCATGCCGAAGAAAAATGGATACTGGACTAATGTCATCGCAAGGATGTCTCTTGAGTTTTATAACAACGAAAGTGAGACTAATCACTTACGACCTTTTTTGAATCCTACAATGGGTTAGACATGAGCATACCAAAACACTTATACATATATATATGTATATGTATATGTATATATGTATGTGTGTGTGTGTGTGTTTATATTCAGGTAAGACAAATAATATCAAAGGGATAAAAACGGTGTAAACAAGTTGAATGCTGTCTGTTAAACAGAAATGCTTTTGGCTACTATGTTTTATTTCCCTAATGAATACTTTGATTACAATAAGTTATATATATATATATATTAAGTGAAAATGATGTTGTTTGAAATGTGTCGGATAATCAATAGCCTTTTTAGTGCGTATGTGGGAAAAGTGGGAACGAAAAAGCTCATCAGTCTTTCTTTGGAATAAAAGGGTCCTTTTTACTTTGTATTTTTTCTCCAAAGTTTATTTTTCCACATTTTTATTCTGTCTTTTGCTAGATATTGCTCGGTTTGATTAACACTTTTCATAAACTATTTTCGACTCCCTTTCGCACACAAATCGATACATATAAAACACCAAATGGATGCAGAGGAGCAAACTCAGTGCAATGGGGCCAACAAAGATCCCGACACGAATGAAACTATTGTAGATTCTGTTGTGAAAAACAACTTTAAGGTCCTATCTGAAGATACCATTACATACTTGCGTGATAAACATGTCCCAGAGGTAATGGAATTCATTATGAAATCCATTGTTGCACAGAAACCAGAGTCTCCCTTCGCCTTCATTCACAAGCTCACCTCTACTCCGTATCCACCACGAATTGTTATCGCCGGACCGCCCGCCACTTTCGTACAAACACACTGCGAACAAATTGAGGCCTTCTACAAACAAAAAAAGAATATCCGTCCTGTTTATATTTCCTCTGGTGAACTCATTCGCTGGGAAATTGAGAACGGTACCCCCACCGGCAAAATCGCAGAAGGCTATATTGCGAATATGCAATTGGTGCCCGATTGCCTTGTCTTTGGCCTTGTGCGAGATCGACTCGAGCAGAAAGATGCGCGGGAAAATGGCTGGATTCTCGATGGCTTCCCCCGAACCGCCAAACAAGTCCACGACCTCGACGCACAAGGCTACACCCCCGATCTTTACATCCAACTCGTGGCCGCGGATGAGGTGCTGATGGAACGAGTGATTTGGCAGCGGTTGGACCCGGCCACCGATGTGATTTACCATCTCAAAACAAATCCCCCACCGAATAACGACTTCGCCCTGTTAGAACGTCTGACTCAGCGCCCGGAGGATACGCACGAGTCGTTGATGGAGCATCTTAAGGCGTACCGCCAGGCCGCCACCGTCTTGGCGACGCATTATTCCCTTATAAGGGTCTGTCAGAACGCCAACATTCCCTTAATCGAAGCGTTGAAAGAAACGGACAAGACGCTTGAAAATCACTACATTAGCTAAACACTGCAATCGGAGAAGAGAATGGGAAAAAAAATGAAATAAAAACATAAGCGCGACACAAACGAAACCCAATATTTTAATTGACTGGTAGACACGATATGTAGCCATCTAATAGCTAATCGTTCTCATGCTCGGATCTCGCCAGTTAAGATGACAGAAAATGTTCAATATATATCATATATGAACTGACTCCATTCGTTATGTTTACTTTTTCTTCATATTTCATAGGTACCTTTTAAATTTTGAAGCATTGAACTTCAACTCTTGCAACTACATCGTCTAAAATCAATACCTCAGTGCCTCTTGACATTGTCATGACTTAACGTGCTTAGCACAATCCTATTTTTTTGATTCTCAGCTGCATGTATTCGCGATTTTATCGACGATGTAAGTAAAGTGAATAACCAATGGGCCAATAAGCAGTGAAAGTTGTGTTAATGGCTCATTACATTCTTATCGGATGTTTGTATGTTTCACGGCAATTCATTACAGTTTATCGTACCATTTGCTTATGTAGATATTTTTTACTTGATGCGTTATTGATTCTATTTTTTATCTTTCTCTTCTCCTTAACAAATTTATTGATGTATGGGGTGATACGATGTAACCGAAAATGCACATGAAATTAGCATGTTTGGGAAAAGTGGAATATACGGCTTGAAATACTGTCTCTGGTGAATATGTAATAACCGAAAATTATTTATGTATAGACTTATTTCCCTTTTTTATATATTCAACATAGCACATGTATACAGACAAGCAATATTTAGACATGTATATGAAAAGTATCGATTACGGAAAAGAGCCATATAGACCTTTTCATTCAAATACTATGTGACACGTTGAAGCTGAAATATAAAGAATAAAAAGCGGTCTATTAAAGGCTTTATCTGTTGCTTCATCTTATTTTAGTAACTACTTATATGTAATTTATATAGACCTCTACGGTTTCTATAATGTTATTCCCTTCTATTTTCTCTCACACATAAGTTTTCTTTTCCTTTTTTTTTACTGGTAAGTTATACAAACCGATATCATTTAGCTTAAAAGTTACTTACACGTGCATGTGTGTGCGGTTTGCACTTGTTTTGACAACCAAAACAATTCAAAACGTTCTACATTATTGTTAAGAACTAAAAACACCACTTTTTTTTTTATCATCTCAAACCCTGCGCATCAACTAGTTTTAACTGCTCTACGCTCTGAAGTAAAAAAAAACTATTCAGTGATATCACAACACACTCTCGAAAGAGGTCTTTTCCTTTTTTTTTCCCTCTGTAGGGTGTTATTTCTGTTACAATTGACCCTTATACCCCCCCCTCAGATATCCATATTTGTGTCACATCCCAACCTTCCTCTGACATTGTATGCCCATATCCTTCTCTTCATGGAATGACAACCGCCCCCACAACCCTCCCGTTGTCCATCCTTCACCGCAGCGCCCGGAGGACTGGGGGTTTTATAGTAAAGACGATGGGCGAACGATAGGCCGCGCGCACGTGGCGGATGTCAACCTCAGCTTCGCCATCAACGGCGTCATCCGGGCCGCCGCGTGTGTGAACGAGCGAATTATCTGGACAGCTGAAGACGACGGTGGGTTGTGGGTGCGGTCCCTACCGAAAGGGACAGTGCTGAAACACGTGGATATGTGTGCGGGCACCTTTTGTAGTTGTTTGCTCTACGTGGCGCTCCAGCACCACATCTGGGTCGCGTTTGAAAATGGCTCTGCGCGGGTCTACGACGCAGCGACCTGTGCACTCATCAGCGAGTTTGTTGTAAACCCCAACTCTCGCCTTGGTCAGAGCAATAAAATTCATGTGATGGTGGAAGTTGAGGGATACGTTTTTATTGGGTGTGAGGATGCCTGTATCGTGAAACGTAATGCCCTAGACTCACACCTAGAATGTATACTAAAAGGGCACAAAGGCGCTGTACGAGCTCTGGCGATTTATGTGGGACCCACCGGTTCTGTCGTCTTCTCTGGGAGCAACGATGGCTCAGTAAAAGGCTGGGATCCGTACAGGAACAAGAACAGTGCTGATAACGACGCAACAGATAACGTCGGGTGCATTCATACTTTTAAAACGGAAGCTCCACGGTCTTCTTCTATGGAACCTCATGGTGCGATCCGTGCCCTAGAGGTGGTGCCGCACACAAATCGAATCTGGTCTGGCGGAGACGACCATGCAGTACGCGTGTGGAACCTCGAGACGCTAAACTATGAAGCTGTGCTTCAAGGCGTGCACGCCGCGCCGGTGACTTGTCTTTTGACGTTGGAGTCGCGCATGTGGACCGGTGACGCCCAGGGGTGTATCCTACTCTGGGACATGGCCTCCTTAGCCATACTGCAAAACCTCTCTAGTCGCGAGAGACTTGACTCCGGGGAGCTATGGTTTATAATGAAGATACAGCCCGCAACATCATGGAAGGTGTGGACGGCCGGTGCAAAGGGGTGTGTGCAGTGTTGGAATGCGGAGACATCACCAATCCTGTTTCATGACTCCCGTACGGGAGAGGAGGAGAAGGCACAGTCAACGGGTAGAGATGGAAGTGGAAGACTGAGCAAGACTGAACCTTGGGCCTTGGTTTTACAAAACGACAGAGAGAATCTACCTTGCGATATTATCGACGTTGCTCGGCTCGGCTTTGATTTAGCTTGTGGGAGAGGTCGTCTCAGAATACAACATGAACTGCAGATTCATCAACTCCTTGAGGAAGAGAACGCATTTTTGAAAAAACGTGTATATAATCTGGAAACTGCACGTGCGATGTCTTTACGGTCACAAGACGCACAACCATCCCAGTCTTCCAAGAGCCCTATTCGAACCTCCGAGGATGACATTGTTTCGATCTTGCGGCATGAGCGAGAAATTATCGAGAAAGAACTTGAGCTTTTGCGGGATGAAAACTACGCCCTCCTTCGACTTCTCGAGCAGCACACGGAGAGTAGGGAAAAAGCGAAGTATATACAGAAGGGTGTCTCCCAGACGGTGGTAGGGCATCGTGTCAAGTCTGAGTCCACTCAGGGAGATGCACCACTGGGCAACGCGACGCTATCTACGTCAAGATCACCGTCGCCTTCTGCACAGATGCATGAGAGCAGTGAGCATGCTGGCGCGTTGCGAGACTCAAGCCGTTGGGCTCGACAAATGGCCCGTGATCCGGAGGACTGCATGAGCAAGTTTGGAAAAACGAAAAATGAGTCCCTGCAGGAACCTCCTGACACAGAGTCTTGCAATAGCGAGATACGAGACCACACGAAAGATAATCTGTCCATACTGAGAAATCAATGCAACGGATACCGAACACAGATTAAGCGTTTAGTTGAAGAAAAGGAAGAACTGCAGCGAGCACTGACTAACTCCAAGCAGAAGAAGATGTATGACCTAAAGCTGAACGACAACACCCAAGGCATGACTAATCGTGCGAGCTCTGGACACAAAGATATTTCAACTCGTCTGGAACATAATGAAGTCGCATCCCTACGTGAGGAACTAGCCAAGGTGAAACTAATTTCTTCTAACAAGACGGAAGCTCTGCTTAAACTACAGAAGGAGCTGAACACGTTGAAGTGCGTGGAGGAAACGCACTCCCGTCACGATGCGGCTTCTCAGTCGGTAACTCCATTGCGGGATTCCCACGCAGATGTCAGCCATGAAGAACACAATCTGACACCTTCCCCAACACGAAGAACTGAGAATACGGTGCGGTCTTCGGCGACCAGCAGCAATGATGTAGACAAAGGAGCCAATTTTTCTCTTTCTTCTCGAGTGAAGCATCAGACCACAGTTCCACAAGATGAAGATAAGCTCTCTCCGGAAGCGTGGAACCTAGCATTGTCGGTACGCCTTACTGACGCGGAGTCTGTTATTACGGAGTTAGAGTCGTTATTAAATGGATGCATGAATCAGCTAGCTGAAGAACGTGAAACAAGGCATCATCTAGAGCAAAAGATTAGTGTACTTCAATCAACAAACGTATGAGTAATATATCGACATCATTTATACAGAAATGATGCAATTAAGGAAGTAAACACCAAGAGAGAGAGAAATCTATATCATTCACATTTTTGTTTTCACCTTTGTACAGCATTTAGTAAAAGTTCTTGCTGTAGATCGTTTTCTTAAAAGACTCTAGAAGTAGTGATATGTCGGAATCTCTATAAAGCCCTCTTTATCTTAGGGCTCCAAATCAACGAATCTAGAAATTTATCAGGAGAATTATATTTATATACTTATTTGTATTTTTCTTCTGATAACAATTTAAGTATTGAGCACTTCGGTGCTGCTTATCAGCGCATTAGTGAACATTCATGTATTCATAAATGTTTGTCTATAGACTAATATGACTGTGTAATTTGCTTCCTTTCTCAAGCTCACAGATTGCTGAAGGGAAAACTCTATCAGAACCCTTCGCTATTTTCCAGGATGTGTAGCTAAGCTTTATCATGTTTACTACTCCATTACTATGGAATAATTTATAGATGAATCTGTGCGATGTGTCTATACTTCAAAGTAGGGACCTTTTAGATGGTAGCATTTTCTCTGATTTACCTATATACAAGGAAAAAATGTGAAGCTTTTCATATTGCATAGTATACTTCATTGATAGAATTTTTCAGCTATTTCAAATTGTTGTCGTTATTTTATCTCCCTATCAATACTCAATATACTACTATATAGTATTAAGTCTTGAAGCTCCTTCACCTCTGTTCTGTCTTACTGCTTTAAGGTAGATAGCTGTCTACACTTAGCTACCAAGGCACTTGAGCTGACTGCCTTTTTTTTTTGTAGAGTTAATCTATACATATAAATTGATACTTGATTTTTAAAAAATGGAACGCCGCTTCAGAAGGCAGGAATCGGCGTCTTCTAGTATTGACAGTGGAGGACTACTGCGGCGTGAAATGCTAGGCGGCGGCACCAAAAAATCCCAACACAATAGCCAGGTCTTTGCAGTCAATAAAGAGTGGCAAGATTATATCGCCGCCGTCGAAGGAGACCACACGGAGCTCAGACAGCTGTACAAAATGCAAACCGATGAATTGTCCTCATTGCGCTCCTTACTCGCTGAGAAACCCATACAAGATGTCCTGATCCAGTCACTCACTAGCCGTGTCAATGAGTACGAGGCTTGTATGAAGGAACTGCTTGTGGTGCTCACCAATACGGAAAAACTCCGTGAGCGAAACAACCAGAAAATAAATAAAGACGGCACAAAGGAGCAGGCAAGTGCCAAAAATCTTACCACAGATTGCGCTAGTCAACTTACTATGCTACCATCGACTCCTGTCACTTTGATGGACGCCGTTCGTGATGCCGTTATGAAACAACAGCAGCGTATACTAAATTACCAGAAAACAATCGAGAGGAACCAGATAAAGTTTAAGGAAATTGAGGAAAAGCTCGTGACTAAAAATGAGTGCATTCACAAAGTAAATAACAAAGAGGCTCACGAAGTCCCTGATAGTGGAATTATATGTGATTGCTTTGTCCCGTCTAGCGCGAAAGAACTCGACAAACTTCGGATGTACATTTTAGATCTAGAGCGACATCTGGAAAAGGCAAAGGAAAATGAAAAGAACATTATGGCTGAGCTGAGGAACGCGAAACACAAGGCTGAGGTCAGTTCACAGAGCAGCCAAAGGTACGTCAAGCAGCTGGATTGGCTAAAGGCTCTTCTCATTCAAAAGGAAAATCTACTTACTGATGTGGAGACTCGGTACCGCACCATTGAAGGGAAACTTAAGAAATATCAACTGACAGATTTAGATTCCACTTGTTCTTCACTTGCAAACGACAAAAATGCGAAGTCTGATGATGCAGGTGACAAGCTTGACACGACGCACCACTGCCAGCTTTTCCTGGGCAAAGAGCTAGTATTAACATTTCTTAATACCCCTGAGGAATTCAAAGACATGTTCCTTGGTGCAACTTCAGCCGCACTGCATCTTCCCCGTTCATGGATCAGTATCACAAAAACACAGCTTATCGGGGATAGACACGGCGTGAGTATAGAACTTGATGTGCAGCACAGCGCATCCATGAAGGAGTGTACAATCAATTCAATCATTCACGCGCACTCTTATCACGAACTACAGGAATTGAAAGAGCGCGCCCTTCTGCGGCAGCTTGAGATAACTGAAACAACTGCACATGGCATAGAGAAGGCGTTGCATGACAAGACTCAACAGGTTGAAGTACTTCAGAAGCGGGTTCATGGGCTGCAGAGGTTGCTTAACCAACGGAATCGAGATCAGGAATCCATTGATCGGCAGGTCGATATAGCCCTGGAGGAAGCCAATGTCGCTGTAAAGGATGTCTATGCCGCTCTTGAAGCGGAACGCCTCAAAACCTTGAACGCCAATGAAGCCCTCCAAATTGCACAAGAGGATGCCGCTGTACAACTTCAGAAGTTAGCTAACTACGAGAAACAGCTCGAAGACGCACACAAGGTGATCGAAGCCATGCAATCGCAACTTAAAGCCGTAGAAGAACAACTTCCTGAAGTCGATAAACATAAGATGGAGTTGGACCAGTCCCTTCAGGATTTACGTCAAAAGAAAAACAAAGAGCCGCGCGAAGCCACAGACACTACGATAGCGGGATCTGTCGTGGAAACATTTGCTTTGAGACTCCCTCTACCGCTTTCAGACGCGTCGGAGATTGATGCTGCTGCCCTTTTTTCTTCTGCCTCAGATTCCGGGAGTCATGCGCCTGGAAAGTCTAGTGTGGCTGTGACCACGCTGTATCGCTTGCTTCTGTGTGAAGCATCGATGGCTACCGGAACGGTACCGGTACGCATTTCAAGAGCCTCAATGATCACCAAAAAGATGTCTCCCGCACAGGTCCCCACGCTGAGCCTCAAGCTGGTGCTTTCATGTTTCGTGACTACAGACAAGAGGGAGGCAGTATGTCAGAACATCGCACAAAAACTCTCCTCTTGTCCTTTTCACTGCTCGCTTCGGTATCTTCAAGACCACCTTGAAGTCTCTCGAGAGCTGGTAAACTCTAAACAAGTTTCTACCCTCACGCACAACGCAAAAACGACCGAAAAGACTATCCAAACTTCGACAAACTCTTTACAAGAGTTAATAAAAATATTAGAAGACAAGTTTGATAAAGCACTGAGAACAGCGGATCACCGAACGGCGGTAGGGGTTCAGGCAAAGGCTGAGATATTGATCGGACGTTTGCACACTTTGGAGCTCACTTTGCGACAAACTAGGGAAGCTACCAAAGAAAATGAAAAGAAGCTAGTAGATGAGAACAACCCGGCATTAGAACAGCTGCGTATAGAGCTTCAGTCTGCCACACAGCGCTGCGAGGAGCTCGAACGCCAAGTGTTTGAGATGGAAACTGATATGAATGATTTTGCCAAGATACAAGCCTCCCTGCAAGACTCCTTTGAGAACGCCCAGACAGAGCTTCGCGCTAAAAAACAGGACCACGAGTATTCAAAGCATTACATTCGACAAATAGAAAAGGAATCTGAAAGGGTAAAGGAAGAGAATAGACGACTTCGCGCGCGTGCCTTAGTTGTGACAGCTCCCAACGAGAGCGATGATATCAAAGGACAGAGCACTGGTAGTGGAAGCTCTAAGGCTAATGACTCTTCGGAAATGAGATCAGTGATCGCAACTCTGCATAAGACACGATCCTTACTTAAAGAGATCATGTTTACTGTGCAGCAACATAGTGGCCAAAGCAGCGATGTAAGCAAGCCTGTCGCTGCGATTGACCCTTATAAAGCTTCAACTGAAACTTACAGGTTAGTTCGTCAGCTCCACAGCGCTATTACAACGTTGCTATCAGAGCGTAAAACTTCTCCTAAGCAGCTATCAGAAAGTGTGAAAGGCAGTGCAGCTACACCATGCAAGCGTACCCCTGCAGCGGCGCCGATCCCAATTGAAAGCACCAAAGAATACCCAAAATCTATTCAGATGCAACAAAATAAGAGCACTATAAAGGGGTCTACTCGAATCTCATCAAGTCCAATGGAAGAGGAACGAAGTAAAATAGGCAGAACGGTTCCCATCACTCACTCAACGAGCACTGAAGCAGCCTTCACGCGGAGCGCGACGGCGGCGTGTTTCCGCCCACGCGTCCACGCCAGAGCAATGGGTGTGATGCCAACGTTAAGTTCTAGCGACGAATCAAGCCAACAGAAGCAGTCCGGTTGTTCTAGCTCCAGCCTTGCCGCTGGCGATGGCAAGAATAACGGAGACCACATCACAGAGGCGATGGTCCGGACCCACGAGCACCGATTTATATACCCCGTCATGAGGCCACCGTTGCTGGAGCTCAGTCCCGGGTGCGGCAGCCCCTCCAGCGATGCCGCGCTGTCCCGATTCGTCACGCCGCAGAGCTTTCACCGTAGCCATACAGACAATGACCGACTAGACATGTTTAGGAACTTGGGCGATGCGAAACACTAAAGTAATAGCGGGAATACCAACAAAGTGCAATATGAACGCACTCTTAGTTGTCACCACTATCTATCAAAAAGTGAGCCAATATGCACAATATCAAAAGAGTAACAACGACTCTAAAACTTCTGATTCTGACTTAGCATAATGATTGGACAATACAAAGAGAACATCATTGGTGCGTAAACTGTGCTTTCCAGAGCATATTTTGTTTATTTCTAGATAATGTTGTAAATTTGTGTATAATCTTTTCTATGTATGCAAAAATATGCTTGTGCGCATTGGCTTAGATTCCCTTCTCTTTTCCTTTGGAACCCATATAGAAAAATATTCACTTGGTGTTTTTATTCCACTTATTGTACTCGGACCTATTCTGAGTCCTATTATTGTTTATTATGCACGTTTCTTTTTTAGTATTATTACTCTTACCATATCCTTTGTCTCTTATTCTAATGAGATAGAAATGTGTGTAAGTGCTTTTTTCCCACTCAGTGCAAAGGTTCTGGAAAAAAAAACTTACGACATTGCATATGTTTCTAACTAAAAAATAAGGCGTAGTTTTGTCGTTTCGCAAATTACGCAAATTGTGTGATGCGTCGTCAAACCATCTAACCACCTCTTCCTATTTTTGTTGTTACCATCTATTAAAACCAAAAATTAACTCGCTCTTAGGATATTTTATTAATTACCTCAAAAAAAATTGGTAAACTTTTTCATTGCGTACAACAATATACCTGCATATAAAGAACTCCATAGACAAAACATTACTTTAGGAGTCAATGTATCAATTACCATTTGGGCGCATTGATCTTTTTATTGGTCCAATGTTCTCTGGTAAGACCACAATGCTTATGCAGCGCATTAAGCGCGAGATGCTTGCGAGGAGAACTTGCTGCGTCGTCAAATACGCCCAAGAAACCCGTTATGATCTGAAAAATGTTGCAACGCATGATCAAATCAAGCTCCGTGCGCATGTAGCTGCTACGCGCCTGAGCGATCTAGGCGAATTCTGGAAGTTATACGACGTCATCGCGATAGACGAAGGACAATTTTTCCCTGACATCGTCCCTTTCTGCAACAACGCGGCAGATGCTGGTAAGACGGTTTTGGTATCCGCTCTGGATTCGGACTACCGTCGTGAACCCTTTGGGCAAGTGTGTAATCTGATCCCCGTCTCTGAGTCCGTCACGAAGCTGTCCTCAGTGTGCATGATGTGCCACACATGTCCAGGCTCTTTCACACGACGCACTGTGGAAACGGAAGGGCAGGTGCTCTTGGGCGGAATTGAAATGTACATCACAACCTGCCGCAAATGTTATAACCTGAAAATCGGGCCGTCGAAGGAAGCCATGGAGAAAGTGTATCAATCGATCCGCAAAGTGCAAGATGAGTGCATGATCCCTACAACAAGCTCCTTTCGATGCTCAACACACCCATCGCGCGAAGACCAAGAATCCTTCGCTGAAACGGGTTCTTCTTTAGAGCATGTGGGGTTAAACACCCCTAGCCCAATAAAAGACACCACTGATATGGAAATGCCGACCTATGAAGCTAAGGTGGAACGTAAAAAAACGGAGTCGGATTTTCAAGAAAAAATGCCTCCCTTATAATTCAGTCCTAATAAAGGTGATGTTCTGGACATGGTATAAAATTTAATATGAACTTCAAAATTAGGAGAAATAAAGGAATTCTTCATGTAGGTTTTATACGAATCATTGATGAGTAATTACGTTTTACAGTTATCCGATTCAGTCTTATACTTCCTTTCTCACCTATGCATTCTACAGATACGTGCTAATTGTAAATCCAAGATTGCGGGGTAGAAATCTTTACGTTTTATCTAATGATATATATATATGTACATGTAGGTAATGCATATCATGTAATTTATATATTGGATGAAATACATATATGCATTTCAAATCTTCTTATTTTACGTATTCGACTCTACAAGAACAATATAATTAATAAATGCTTTCTTCTGCGTGAGAGTGAGCATATTCGTTACTATGAATATATATTAAGATGAAAAGTGAAAATATTTGGGGGAACCCATTGGCTTCAAAAGAAGCTTATTTTTATTTCACGGTATTCATGAAAATTTACTCATAGTCTATATGTGAATGGTGTTTTTGATTTAATTAATCTATAAGGATTTGTGAAGTATATTTAATTATAGAAAAATTTGAATGACTCAGGGTTACCTTTATCTTATTGATATGACAATGTTATATTCTCTTTCGATTCAGATAAGATATTTTTTAACTCCTACAAGCTCCAGTGTCTTTAACACGACTTCTTTTAATGAAGGAGGGCGTCCTCATTTTCACTTAGTAAGTTCTAATCTTTTTTTGTACATTAGATGCTCAAAAATGCATGAATAGAAATGTTATAGACTAACAAACATAGATCATTATGTTATGCATAAGTTCTTAATCACCTTTTTCCTGTGTACCTGCTAATAATGAAGGGATGCTGTTTGATAATGAAAGAAACCTTGTTATAATCCTTGGAATATTACCTAATGAACTCATAAGACCCCTTTAGCAAGACAGACTCAATGAGTGGAAATTAAAAAAATTATGTGTTAATCAATTGAATAGGACGCTTCAAAATATAATTCATAAATTAATAGAAATCATTAAATCTGTCTACTTATTATTACTTTGATTTTTCAATCATTATAAGATTGTCATTAGCTCTTCTATAACGATCTTTTGATATCTTTTAAGAACATTTTACTCAATCATTTTAATAAAAGAACATCACTTTTCAAATTATTCGAAATTGGTATGGAAATGAGTTGAATCAAATAACGGTAAGTATTACCAATTCTGTCTATAATACTGCTAATAATACTAAAGAAAGTGAACTTGTGGAAGGAATGCTTCGTTTTTTTTCATCATTTTCAAATCACACATCATACTGGTGTTACAAGACGTATCCACTTCACCATGCGGTGCGATCAAAGCAATCGAATAAAACGTTACAAAACCGATTCATCCCCTCAAATGATTTTACTCCTACAAACCAGGACGCGCGATTTGTGAGTGAACAAAAACTACCACCCAGTGAACACGTGCCCATCATCACTTCCAGCAGTACCAGCGGTGGTGCTAGCACGGGTAGCATACCACGCATTCACGAGGAGCTTCGGATTCTCAAAGACGAACTGCGATCCACTCAACGTCAGCTTTTGCAGGCCCAGCTTCACCTCGCCCAAATGGAGCACCAGCCTCTCTCACGGTTCTACACCACCGCGCTGGAGCAACTCGCGCGGCTAGACCGTGAGGCCCACGAAGAGGCAACCGCAATGCGCTACACCGCGATGGCCCTACAGGCCAGTCACGACCGTCTGGAGGTGGAGCTGCGGCGAGTGTTAGGGATCGGACTGACCGCGGAGGCGATCGATGCGGCAGCCTTGGAGGCCTCCACACGCCATTACATCCGCGCAAACATTGGGTTTCGTGTGGAACACGTCAGTGAGGAACCTGCGGTCTTGACAGCCGCCTCTAAGGTAGCCGCGAGCGCGGTTGAATATGATGGTATCGAGGAAAGTGGCACGAGTACCTCAGACCTCAACGAAAACAACAAAAAATAACTCGGAAAGATATCCATCTAGGAACGGCTGATGATATAAGAACAGAAAGTGTCATAATTAATTGCAGACATTAGAGTTTTAACACTCCCAGCGGACGAAAAGACGACGAGGCGAAGGAGGTTTATTTCTTTGTGTGTATATGCATCTTCATTTGGATGTGGTAGTGATATTTTATTGGCTCTACTTTATTGAAAGTAAACTCCCTATCTAACAACAATTTACATAGAACTAGTACAGCTGAATTTTAAAATAATAATAATAATAACGAACTTTAGTATTCCTTAAAGCTTTTCAAAACCCCTTAAAATCAGTTTACTGATTTCAGTAAACAATTCATTTTTCCTTTTTCTGTCAAATAGACATAAATTTAGAGAGAAATAATCACTTCTGTCTTTGTAAGTATTCATGGCCTTCGATCCATTTATTATTAGGAAACCAAAAACAACCCTAAGCGGTGTACAAGGGAAAATAACCGTTCAATCTGCCAACGGCGAGCGTATTGGTCAATGGGGAGGTACGGAGTGCTTTCTCTCACGACAAACGGGTCTTGGGCCGTGCCTAGTTGTCCGTTCCAGCCGTCACCGTCGAGGCCAGGGGACGTTTTTCCAGCTGGTTGGCCTACGCCAAGTGCTTTCTTCACACGTCTTACAAGGTAAGTTAACACTGGTTCTATCACACGCCCATCAGCGCATTTGCACGGTGTTTATCAATGCCCTCCCTTCGGATATTGAGGAGCTGCAGATGATGGCGGGAACCCTGCAGGACCGCTCAAAATGGAAGACTTTAGAAAAGAACGTAGCCAAACACGCTGGGAACTCTTCAGTGCGGGGCAAAGGCAGCACACATGAAATCAAAATAGGGGTCAGTCATAATAGAAAATATAGTGGATCAAGCCACCTGCGCGATCCAACCCAGACAGGGCTTGAACGAGAATACAACGACAGTTCTGAGGACGAGAATTAATACTCAAGCGAGGTAAGGGCGCCCGTATATTCTAAGAAGCTTTCCAAAAGTTCAGCTTAAAGCCTCCGCCCTCCGGACCTGTTGTCTACCCAGACTTGGTAGTATCCTCCTCATGAGGAGCTTCCCACTAAAGCAGTGGGGTGGACAGCGAAGCAGGCGGTGACAATTAATTTGCTTTCTGTGAGGGTCCTAACGTTTTCATGATGGGTACGGCGGGTGATCTAGGACGTACGGCCAAAAGAAGGGTCAGTTGATTTACCATTCATAGTTTTACCGGAATGGGCCATGGAGAGGGAATGCTTGACAGTGTGTAGTGAAAAGTCAAAAGTAAGCCAAAAACAGAACGAAGCTGGCAAGTACGCAAGGTATTAGTCCTAAATGAGGTTGTTGTGCTGCGGACGCATGTGTCCAGTGTGCTCGACGCGGTTGTTCGGGATGTGTGTTAAGAACCAAGCAAACCCTTTGCTCAAATCCAGCTCCAGGTCGTAGCTTATTTATTATTATTATTTCATCAGTTACGTGTGCTAAATAAGCCCAGTCAACCTTCGAAAGCGTAACACGGTAACAGTGTTATTTTCATATGATTTGATTTTTGAAAGACTAGCGGAAAATTTCTTGTAGGTAATGATGAATAAATCGAAGCATAAACACATAGAAATGCATAGATCACTAATTTGTGCTCAAATACCCTCCATTTTTATTTTGCTATTAGACTTATCCCATAAACTATAAATGTTGATTAAATATTAGTTCCCTATTTATGTTGCACCTCGATAATCCCACGGAACTCTTCGGTTTCACTTCTCTACATACGAATATATTCCTGAAATAGCTGCTTCTCCCAAAAATCACGTAGCTGAAGGGTGCATAAAGGATAAAACAAGTCCTTTTTAAAAGGATAAAAAAAATTAATACACAATAAAGAATCATGCCACAAGACAAGCGCATCATCATAACCAAGGCAGTCCTTTACAAGCTACGTCGTCTTTGTAATGACAACAGCGACGAAGCTGCGCAGATCGGCATCTTTGTTGAATTTATACTCCCGTCTGTAGTGGTGTCGCAATATCCAGAACTTCAAGGTACTCATCCCTTTAGCTTAGTCCACCGAGTGTACCCTAAAAATGGACGCAGCACCTGCCTTATCGTGCCGAAAGCCATCTCTACTGATTGCTTTAAGATTAACAAACGACATGGGTATTATGACGCGGTGGTCACGGCCGAATCCATTTGTCGGTCCGGCGATATGGAATCGATGCAGCGCGCGGGCCGTGTTGCGAACACGTTTTCGAGCTTTACCGTAGATTCACGAATCGCGTCAAAGTTGCCGGCGTGTATTAAACACAGGGTTAAAACAGACGCACCAGGCACTGTTTCATCCGAAGCTTCAGCGGCGGATAAGGCGCGTATCTCCATAAAATACCCCGAAGCTTGCCTAAGCACCTTAGATGGTCTCGATGAGAAGGAAAACCTGACATTTCGCCTGTCACAGTCGGCAAACAGCAGCAGGGTCTACAGCACAAGGCAGGGACACCTCTTGTTTCGTGTCGGGCACGGCGACATGACGGCAGGCGACATCTGCGAAAACGCGAAACAGTTTGTATTTACCCTCAAGAAGGATTACCCTACCATTTGGCGGTATATTCATGAATTTAAGTTAACCTCAAATAAGACTGATAGTATTAGATTTATGGAAGTGCATTTACCACGCTGAAATGTATGTGATACTCGTATGCAATGCGTTTGTGTGTGTGTGTGTGTCTGTGTAAACTAGCTTCAGAAAGTTTCTTTAAGACTCTCTGTCTGTGTGTAGTAAAAGCAAGTCGATTAACATAAAAGAATATCATTTTCTGATTGAAAAATCAGAACAGTGTAATATTAATAAATGAATAAGTAATTACATGATTGCAAATCGGAACGTCATATTTAAAAGATAAAACTCCTTGTTTCGATTTGTTTACGTTCTACCTTTCTTTTTTTTTTTTTCATCTCCATCCTTTATTCGCTTTTACTGTTATCTGAATCCTTTTTATATTATTTTAAAGGATACACAATAACTTTATATCTCTAAGTTTCACATAAAGTTTCGTCATAATTTCTATATGAAAAAAAAAAGGTCTTGAATGAAATACTGATATCTTTGAAAATCTTCATTAAGTTTCAGATCTATTTTTTTTGAAGTATCTTTTTTAAAACAAAAAGCGAACCATTCTACAAAAAGTGTAGGTGTGTTCTACTTAACACGTGAATTACCAATAATATCTGTATAGTCATACGGGTGCTGGTTTCTGAGGGGTGTGGTTCTTGTAGGTTCTCACGGTAAATACCTTTTTGAAGTATACTTTCTGCATATCAAGCACACACGCATTTAGTTTATTTAGTGTTTAATAATATAGACACATCTAGCAGTTTTTCACCGATTTGATTTATTTTACGCCCAACGTAGCTTGTTCTAGGTTGTGCTGATTTGGTGAGTAATATTAGTCACACATTTTTGAAGCTGGTGTTAGAGTTAAGTATACAGAAAAGGAATAGATTTACTCATTTTGCCCTACTATCATCGTACCCTCTGAAATACTTCTTCATTCGAAAAGTCTTTTAAGACTAAAGTGTCATTGCTATTTGCTAACCAGTAGGTTTCGGTTGAAATACACTTTCACTATTAAAATACCACAGTCTCTCCCCCCTCCCCCTTTAGTAGTTAAGAGGGAAACAAGCGTACTTTTGCTCATGTAATATGCAAAAATACACCTATATGACCTCTCTGGTTACTAATTCACAAGAGGGTTCCTCATCCACAACAGAATCGGATGGGCCCTCGGATCATGTGTGCGTGGACATATCAGCGAAATTCTCGACCCACAACAGTAACTCCGAAGTCGGCAAAATACATGCGCCTAGTTCTTCATCACCACATGATAATAACATTAAGGTGAGTAATTCACAGGAAACGAGAAAGGGTAGTAGTGAGATGCCCACCAAAATTGACGAGAGCAATGCTTCCACTGTACATTCACCCCACTTATCCGCATCACAAAAAGCAGGTTTGACACGAACAGTACTTTCTAAGGCCCTATGCACGATTAACAAGGCAAAAAAAAAAAGAATACGCCTTCCTCACAGTCCAGGCCTCTCTACAGGCCACGCCGCGCGACGACGAAGGATAGCCCATGTGGTGATCCTCTGAAGGAAGCTGATCCGCAAGAGACCCACAGGGATGGAAATCCCGCGCCGACGAGGGTATCGGGGTTAAACAAGACGGCGCCGCCATCCTCGGCTACGAACGGACCCATCGAGGGCGTGGGGGGCTGCCAGGTTGGTGTGGCGCATGGCGATGGGAGGTCTCATTTGCCTCCGGTGACTTTGTCCTACGTTCGCCGACAATGCTCCGCGCGGCGATGCAAATCCGCCACAATGGCAATAGGCACACTAATCGCATCATCGAAAGATAACTATAGGAATATCAAAGACGGCCCTTTGTCAGGGAGGACACTGCGAACGCTAGGCCCTGGGACAGCAAACTCGATGCCAGCGAGGAATATTCCTTCGCTAGGCCTACAGGGATGTACCACGTCCTCTCCAGTAAAGGCTTCGTACCCTTCCAACTCAAAATCTAAACGGCCGAAAGATGTATCATCCAAACCAGACGATGAGGGAAGCATCTTTTCAAATTTAGCTATTCCAAATACCCATCCTCCATTTGACGACGGTAAGAACAAGCCGAGGGAAGCTTTCATGGAATGCGCCTCTGAGGTGCACAGATTGTATAGAAATATCCTTGTAAATCGCCCTGTGTCACCGCTGCCTTTCATCATCGATCAACTCCACCAGGAACTTGAACACAAAGGTCACTATGACATACCACCAGACCAAAAATGCAAGTCGACAAGTTGCGAAATGCATTCTGTAGAAGCTAAACCGAAGCAAGGGAAAATGTCCCCGACGAAGGAACAGACACCCACGAGAGAAAACTCAAGCATTAGCCACAGCCCGGGTGTGCAACCGGAGGATTGCGTAACTGAGGTTTTTCACATCGACAGGCCCATAACACCTCTGCGCTTGTCTAGTGAAAAAGACAACGATACAATATTTGAGGAACCAATGAATGAGACGTTTAAAGCTCCCGACAATACATCATTGCTACAGGTGTCAACCTTCAACTTGTCAACAAAATGCGATCGCCCTGAAACCATCTCCGGTGATTCGAGTGGCACCAGCTGTGCGAACTGCAGCACTATGTCTCGACGGAAGACCTCCTGTGTCGTGCAAAATGAAGGGGAGGAGTCTTTGCCCAACTCGACAAGCTACACTAAACCGTCGCCAGGCCACATTCCCACCCTCTCCGGCTCCACTCTCAGCTCCTCGCCAGGGATCCGTGCTTCGGCGCCGCCGTCTTGGCTATTACGGATGTCCCCCCTTGGGAGTGTCGCCCATACGGTCTCCCCGCACCCCGACTGCGCCCCCCCCTTACCCCATCCCAGTCTCCCCCAGCGCGGCTTCAGCACCCTTTCCAAGGTGACCCCTTCGCAAGCCAACCCCACAACCGCTGTCCTGCCTGTGTTCAGCAAACGAGTCTCTTTGAATGGAAGCATGATGGCAGCTGGGTCTACGCTAGATGTTCGTTCCTCGGGAAGTGATATCTCCTCCGTGTTTAGTGCGGCCCCGGTTGACGTCCAGGAGATGCTACGGGAGCTTCGAGTGGCAAAAGAGGAACATGTTGGAATGGCTCGAACCCATGTCACTTGGAATGAGATGGTGGATATCCTAGAGAGCGTCTCCTTCCCCGCACACGATGCGACGCTGCTAGCGGATCTCTTTGATGAGCTGTGGTTGAATCAACAAAACCGGCTGCGGAAGTTGGCGGCCGATAAGGAACTTGCTGCAAGTGGGTGCAGCTCTACAAGGACGACACCATTGTGGGGCTCATGGGTCCCAGGGCGCAAGCAGCATTACGTCTGTTCCCCCTTTGACGGAAAGCCCATACACTCCGCGGAGGCCATAACTAAGGGTGGACTTCAACGCGTCCAAACAAATCCCGGCATAGTCCGGAACGTCGCTGATGAAGCGGTGAAAGGCTCAACGTCGTCAGGGAAAAAAGCGGCAATGTCCAAGTCGCTACATGATCAACCACCTATTCCGATGGTGCGCTTTGAAACCTTTTTAGCATGCATGACCTACAAAATACAGGGACGGTACCCTCTGGAGGTGATTCGCCAAGCCTTTTTTGATCTTGTCGAAGAATACGGAGTCACACGCAGCGTCACCAGCGATGCCGTTAGCCACAAGCTTGGGTTGGTCCTCGAATCAGCGCCCAGCTCGACGGGGGTCTTGTCAAATGCAAAAGAGACTGAAACTCATTTCCCGAAACATGGCTTCGAGAGTGCGACACGAGTAAAAAGCAACGACATCTCCCTTGCTTCTGAGTACCACGACCGATGCGAAGGGACGCATCTGCTGTCGTCAGCGTGCTGCACAGACTTCGCCGAGCCATCCGTGACACTTGAACTCAGCAACCTGACTGATTCAAACCCTGATAAGGCTAACGACGGTCAAACAAAGGTGCAGGAGCTGGTGATGTCGATGAAATCACTTCGCGATAATCTAAAGGAGACCTCTAGTTCACATAATTTGTTCAATGGAACCGTCAATATGAAGGATAGTTCCCAGATAGCATCTAACCTGACAACTCACATGGACCTTATGGGCAGTATCACGAGCTCCAGCCGGCTCTTCTCACCGCACCTGACGGTCATGGCGCATACCGTGCCGCTATGGATGTGTGTAGTGGAGGGCATCCAAGGCCTCCTCGGCCTAAACAATTTCGATGGTGCGGATATTGAACAGGCCCTCAACATGGCAGGCCAGCCTTTGCACAATCTCGACTACCACTGTCACCTGGACGAATTCATACGCCTCGTGCACTGCGTGACGATGTTGGTGAATCGGAAGCTCATGAACTCTAGTAACCATTTCAAAGGGGGGAACCTCTACCCGACGCTGATCCGAAGCGCGGCAAGCGTGACGGCTTCTGGTAATGCGGGATATAGCGGCAGTAGTAATAATAACAATAGCACGAGTAGGAGCGAAAATGAAAGAAATCCTATTATGTTTTCGTTAAACGCGAATTATGTGGCATGGTAGAACAAATCTACCTACTACCTATACCATTCTGGTCACTAAGTAAGACGTAAAGCATTTCACATTCCTCAAAAAAATTCCCTTGATATAGAAAAGAAAAAAAGAGAAATCCGGATAATATATTATCTTATATAACAAGAGGTAATTATAAAAGACATTACGCACTTGAATTAAAATAACGAGCTCTTAGTTATTCACAAAATTTGAAATGTGTTTTTGATTTTATCTGCTTTATATATGGAGTTATTCTTTAAGGAGGCTTTTTCTTCTACTCATCGGTTGGCATCACTTGCGTTTTTTTCTTTCATTAGCACATTCTGGCATCTTTTATTCCCTGACACGGCAGATTTATTTTGATAAAGTGATATTTGAAAAAGAAACAATACAAGAGGATACAAAACGAAGGGTTGGGAAAGAGACGCTTGATGTTTCCATATAGGCATCATCTACTCGCTGTGTATCAACATTACATGTATCCTCTTGAAAAATATTAGATTTCTGATATCGACCACAAAAAAATACATCTTTTGATGGCTATGTCTGTAAACAATATTATCCTTTTAACTTTTATCTTTAACACCGATGTGGCCCATAGTCGTTATTTCAACCAATCGTTACATAACTATTGAATGTTTTAATTCTACTTCTGCGAAACAAGAAAACAGTAGAACAAATGAAGGGTTAACGATTGGGTTCTTTTATAGGCTAACATATTGAACCATATCTTCTAGAGAATAAGAGTAAAGGAAATTTAAATGTTCAACAGCGATATATATATATATATATATATATGCATACATCCAGGGCAAGGTACACGTAAAAACTTTTAGTGAGAGGTAATTGTGCTAATATTTAACTATATGTGTAAAAAGAAGGACACTAGTAATCCTCCATATTTACATACTATCATGTCCAATTCGTGTTATATAAAAAACATAAAGAACTAATTTCTCACTCTTTAAATTTAATCGGTGATACCGAAGCATATTATGTGTAGGGTGTGTTGCCAAAAAGTGGTCAAAACAAATACACAAAAGGTCTTCGTTACCTGCAGGGCCAATATTCTCATTTTGTAAATTCTTACTTTATTAGTTCTGTCTGACTTTTTGCACTGTAAATTCATTTAATCTACCATATATAGTGAGAAGTTTGCAAAATGAAACTTTTCAAAATCTCTTCTGCAAACTATGTTTCATAGTTATTTCTTTTTTTTTTTGGTTAAGAAACTTGGATATATCTTTTTAACTCATACCCTTCTACTTCTTTAGGTGCTTTCGCTATGTCTTTGCATCGACATGCAAGCTTTAGTTGAAGGAACGCTTAGGGAGAATTGTTTATGGTGAAAAACGAAAAATCAATGAAATAAAGATCTAAAAGGAAGCTGTGGTAATGTAATATTGACACTTTTGCGAATAGAATACTTTTCAGATTTTTCCATCCTGGCTCACTCAAAATATTAATGGTTTACTGGATACGTATTACTTCGGGTACCGAGTGTGTTGTGACATTTATTGTTTATTTTAAGACGATTTGTGTATGCTTCCAATGTTTCATATCCGCCTTTGTACTCTTCTGAATTTCCTACTTACAAAAAATATGAATAAAGTCTATATTGATATATGTATTTCTTATAATTTACTAGTATATATATTTGTAAGAAATTCATTTTTTGTTGAAATAACTACTAATACTGTTGCGATGCTTGCTACCTTTTAAGCAATATGTTTTATTAAAAATTCTTATATGCTTGTTTTCTCATCAATTAGGTCGACTGTTTTTCCTGACACACCATTAAATTTATGGGGCACTAACACATCTATTTGGTTCTTCAGTATTAAAAAAATGCACAACAGAAAGGAGGAATCAAATGATTTTACTCCCTTGGAATGATGATTTTGCTGTACGTATGTAAATATCCTTTCTTTATTTTAAAGAATTTAATATCATTTGTTAGATCATCTTTAACAATGATATGTATATATATATATATATATATATGTATGTATGTATAGATATATATTTATATATATATGTATAGAAATTTTCACCTTATATGTGTGCGACCTAACGTTTATTTACTGTTTTTCAGTGTTCATTTCAGCTGTTTGATTTTTCTTATGTCAATATTTTCTTGTTTTTTTTCTTTAATTATAGAATTATCTATTGATTGCTAATGTGTTAATAGAAAGCTGAAATATGTGCGATCAGCTCACGCTATATCTCATACCCCTCAGTCGCCAGATTTTTTCCCGAAATTCGCGTCCAGCATTGGCTCCATAAGTTGAATCGCTTCATGGTCTGAACTATTCATCAGGGCAAAATCTGGAGCTGTCTTTCAGGATGACTGTCCTTGAAGTACTCTTGGGGAATATATATTGTAATTGATAACCACAATATCCTCTATGCCACCCTTTTACATGTCTGTGGGGAAATGTAATGGGTTCATGCTTGCTCAGCCATTATCTCTAATATATATATATATATATATATATATATGCTCGTCGTTGTTGG